GGATTAAAGGCGTGTGCCACCATGCCCAGCTCAGAAGAATATTCTTATCACAAAGAAACAATAATTCTTTTGCAGGGATGTGTGTGTGTGTGTGTGTGTGTGTGTGTGTGTGTGTTAGATACATTGTCACAAATGATGGCACAATATGTATTTGTATCAAAGCATTAGGGAGCATCCCGCAGACAGGGAGAGTTATTAGAAATTTATCCAATCTATTGGATTCACAGTGATCTGGGTGACTGGAGTAGATCATGGGATCAGAGAATACCCAGTTCTCTCATACATAAACTAGAGAGTCAATATCGGTGGAAACATAAAGATAAGTCACTAACTCCCTGATATACTGTGATCTGAGCAGACATATCGGTCCTCACCAGCTCATCGCCTCTAGAAGGTCCCTGGAGCTATCTACAACTGAGCACATCTGCACGGCTCTTCCTTGTGGCTCTTTTACGGACTTTTGTTTATGATTTGGTTGACCAAATATGCACAAAGGGCAAGGATGGAAGAGAAAAGATCAATAGAACATCTTGTTGGACATGTTCAGTATTAAAAATGGACAGATCAAAAAAAAATCAAAGTCTTAAAAATGACAGAAGTCTTAGAAATAATAGAAGATGAGAGAAAGGGAGCGTTTCTTCTGGATAGAGGATGCTTAGCCAATATGGAACCTGTTGTGAGTGTCCACGAATAAAGAGCAAAGGAAGAGAAGTCAAAGCAGAAGTCTCCATCATGCTCTCTAACCCTGAAGGAGGCTGACCACCACACACGGGGAACCTCAAGAAGGCAAAGTCGCTTCTGATGACTACAGGTGAGTGTTTGCTTTAGAACACTCTAGCAAACCTATGAGAATAGATTCCTACAGGAAATCAGATTTGCTCCAGTGTGAGAAAGAAGCGACTTGTAAAAAAAAAAAAAAAAAAAAACAAGAAATCCTAATATGTTAGTCCTGAGAAAAGGGAAGGAGATGTGCTGGGGGTGGGGCAGGACAACGGGCAAAGAATCTCATGATATAAGTTCCGGATTCCTTTCAGAAACAACAAATCAATGAAGATAGAGAGACCATGAAACATAATACTGGGATTTCTCACGCTGTGCTCTTAAATATCAGATAGATTTGCTCAGCATCCAATATAATGATTTTCTTACTCAAAGTTGTTTGTTTTTCCATAGTGTTTAGTTAATGTTGAGTTCCATGATTTAGTTAATGATGATGTTTGATGATTGAGAGTGAAGCCAACAGCTGTCTTGTGTGAAAAATCTGGCATGGTGTATTTCTCCCTCACCTGGAGTGAATCACAGAGCACAGAGCCTTCCCACCTAGAGAGCTGCAGGTGGATGCTGCATGTGCTTAGGACGGCGGTGGGGGTGCAGCTGTCTCTGGGGTCTTCACTTGCTGTCCCTGTTCTGGGAGGTCTCACATACAGGGCCTGCTGTTAAGGCCCCCCCAGGGGGGCAACTCAGAGCCTAGGTGGGGCAACCCAGGCCACCTTCATAGGCACTACTCATCTCCTAATAGGCTTGCTGGATTCTAGCAAAGACTGCAAAGACTCCAAACACTGCCTCTGTCTCAGTATTTCCTGAGCTAGGTAGGGATCACTGCAAAGGGGCAAGAATCAAATAAACTAGGGGCCTTTAAAGCACCGTGGTCATCAAATACCAGATTAGGCCACAAGGCCAGAATGTTATGTACTGGGAGTTCTTTACAACCAAGCTAAGCCCAGCAGGGTTTGAGACCAGTGCACAGTGATACTGAACAAGGGAAAACCTCATGCCACAAAATGCTCCCAATATCAATCCAGATACCCCACAACCTGCCTAGCAGAGCCCCAGCATTTGAGCCTAGCTGACCGATAGTCACTAATGTTGGAGGTCACACAGCTGAGCAATGAATTAGCTGCTTCCGTCTGGGTTGCCGGAGATAATGCCTCTGGCCTGTGGGTTATGATAACGTTGTCTAGGTGACGTCTCAGAAACTGGGAGACCACTTCTGCTAAAAGCATCGACTCTTTCCCAGAGCCCACAGCTATCTAATGTATGATTAAGATGGGATAAAAGGCCTGGCATCCTTGTCTCTGTATCACGTCTATCTCCTTTGTTGCTGACTTTTGAGCCAGACTCTACTCCGCTCTGCATCTAGTCATGTTGATGATTTCAGAAGTGTTTTGTCCAAGACTACAATACAGGGTGAATCTTGACTACTGCTCTTTGGAGTGGATGTGTTTATCCTGCCCTTCTGCTTTCTTCTTCTTTTTTTATTTAAGAATTTTAAAATTCATTTTACATACCAACCACAGATCCCCCTCTCATCCCTCCTCTCCCTCCCCAGCCTCCCCCTACTCAACCCACTCCCACCATCCCCTCACCCAAAAGGGTATGGGTTCCCATGGGGAGTCAGCAAAGCCTGGTACATTCAGTTGAGGCAGGACCAAGCCCCCCTCCCCTGCATCAAGGCTGAGCAAGGTGTCCCACCATAGGTAATAGGATCCAGGAAGCCAGCTCATGCACCAGGGACAGATCCTGATCCCACTGCCCTCAGACAGACCACGCTACACAACTGTCTCCTGTAAGCACCCGTTCTTGACAACTCAAGTGCCTACACTCCCTCATCCTTATTATAAGGACAAAACCATGAGGCCAAGACAAAGATGCCAGCAACAGGTGGGACTTAACAGTCCTGAAAATCCTAACAGTCCAATGACTAGTCCCCAAGCATAGGGTGGACATTTACACAGGATGTTTGTGCCGATAGCAGGAGTAACCCAGCAGTTGCAGCTGTAAGTCACTTCCTGATAGTCTGCAAATCCTGAGGCCAGAATGCTTGCACATAAAAAAGGAAAATATCCCCTGAAACCATGCTTATAACCAACTGATGATTACCAAGCCTTAGCCCACTCTAAAAAAATAAAATAAAATAAAAAAATTAACGAATGTCTGAAACTTCCTTTGTCCAAGCAAACAGCCTGGTCACCTCTGGGTCACCTGGCTGAAGTCAGCCAGTGAATGGAAGTCCCAACACAGACAGAGCCTTGTGTGTTTTGTTTACAGTGTGTGGTTGAGTCTCATTTTCATTCACTCCATGTCACAAGACCCCAGAGTCCAGCTTCTTTTCCTGTCCAATATTTGGGGTTCTTAGACATTACTCACTATTTACCTGAGATTAACTGGGAAGCCTGGATCTTATTTGGCAACTGTATAGTCTGAACTCTGCGGGTCTCCAGAGAGAGGGAGTTGGCAGGGTCGGCAGTGAGTGTCTGCAGAGCTGAGAAGAACTGCCGTGGAGAGTGCAAGTCACAGTCTGTTAGTGACAAAAGCCACAGTAACAGGGGCACAGCCAGTCAGAGTCTCCTTGCTACTTTATCTCCACACCTCTCTCTGAGGGGGAGGAGCAAGCTGGAGAGCCTCTCCTTCCATAGTTCCTCCCAGGCCCCAGTGGGCCAGGCTCTGAACTATTCGCATTTAAGGAATGATTTTGGCTGGCAGGCAATGCAATTGTTAGAGAGCAACGGGCCCAGCACCAGGGAAGGTTTGTTTGGAGGATGAGGGTGGGGAATGGGGAACACCAGCAGACACACACACCGATAAGCTGTAGGAGAGCGCAGACCTTCAAAACCACATGTACGGCATGACGTGAAACACACAGGATGTGCTGCGACTGATTTTTAGAAGACATTATTTCGAACGCTTCACCAATTGCCTATATTTCGTTAGCATCGTGTGACACTGCTCTCGGGGAATTTCCTACCAAGTATCGAATGTGCTACCTTCGATCTGAACGTGACTGGCCAGGGTCACGGTGCTGAGCCTGCTGCTAAGCTTTGGCACTAGAAGCATTCTCAGTTGGCCATGGCCAAAATGTCTTTGTTCTGCTTCTATGGGTTTTTCACAAATCCTTACCTCAATTGTTTACCTCTCGTTAGTAGGATTTTAGAGGATTTATCACTCAAGCCTTCAAAAATTCTGGAATGGATAATTACTGTGATTAATTTTTTTTTTTTTTTTTGAGACAGGTTTTAGTCTGAAGTGTTTGACTCAGATTCACAATCCTCCTGCCTCAGCGTCCCAGGACTGGAATTTACAGGCATGCGTCACCATGCCAGGCTAATGTTGACATGGATGCCCCTAGCTCTAACACAGAATAATATGATATCCTGGGTGTGGGCGTTTCTAGTTCACTCATCATCATTTATTAATAGGATATCCTGGGTGTGGGCGTTTCTAATTTATCCATCGTTATTTATCTTGACTCTTAAGTTTGATGGTGTGCTCGTAGAAAGACTTTATTGGAGTTAGGCTGAATTCAATTATAAAGTTAAACTTGGCTAAGGTGGAGGGATTTTCTTCTTGGCGCTCAACTGTTACTTAGTCACACATAGCGCAAGGCTGTATTACACTGCAGGTTCTAGCACCATGGAAAACAGTTAAGCTTTCCCCTGCTTCTGCACCTAAAATCTGCCCATAAAAATACAGTTTCCTTGCAAAATCATAGTTTAGAGGGAGGAACTGTTTATATCTGGCAATGAAATAAATCTGATTTTTTTTTGTAATAAAACTCATACATGCCTAGTCAATGTTACTAGTCTGTCCATTTTTCTTCTTCTTTTTGAATTTTAACACGATATTTTAGGTCTCCTGGAAGAGTCACACCATGGCCACCTTGGAATAAAAAGGAATCAGTCTGACTCCAAGAGGCAGGTGTTTTTAGTCTCAGCCCAGAGTTTGCTCCTGGAAAGCCTGAGTAGGGCAATATCAACAGGAGTATGCTGAATTGTCTCTCCAGGACCATAGCTGTAGCTGTTCCTGTGGATTTTAGCATGGTGATGGACGAAGGAGCATGTGAGCATGACGGGAGGCGTGGGTAGGGTCAAGTAAGGAAACTGTCTTTCTGTGTGGGACACAGGTGGCATTTTGTTACGGACAGCCACGTGACTACAGCAAAGACATCCCGTTCCTCGACAGCTGGTGTGCAGCTGCGGCCCCAGGGCCCCAGGCTCACTCACCGGTGCTGCTCTGGATGGTCCTCACCGTGGTGGTTGTGCGGGGAGGGGAGGACGACCTCAGCGACACGCACTCGTCGTCCTGGGAGCAGCCCTTCTCGATGGCTCGCACGTAGCTGTGGCTCCGCATGCGGAAGCAGCCAGGCATGGGCAGGTCCAGAGCTTCCACCGCCTGCGACTCCAGCTCGCTGAACACTGACTCACACACGGATTCGAACTGTCCGTTCACCTCCATCTCGCTCACCTGCGGGCAGATACACGAGGGTAAACACCCCGGCTGGCAGCTCGCCACCAATATCTCCCTCCCAGTATCTGGAAACTTCATTCCCCACAAGAGCAGCATTGGTTATGTATCATTCCAATGTGTTTTATTATTTCCTTTATGCCACAGATTGTAAGTCAATGGCATCTAGCTGATAATATAATAGATGACATTTTTTAAGCAAGAGAGCTTTGGGGCTGGGAAGATATCTAAGTATGTAAGAACTCTTGCTTTGCAAGCCAGAGGACCTGAGTTTGAATTCTCAGTATCTATAGTGAAAAATAGGGTACCTTAGGGTTTCTATTGCCATAACCATGGCAACTCTTACAAAGGAAAACATTTGAGATGACGGCTTACAGTTTCAGAGGGTCAGTCCATTATCATCAGGGTGGGACATGTCGGCAGGCGGGCAGACATGGTGCTAGAGGGGTAGCTGAGAGTTCTACATCTTGTAGGCAACAGGAAGTGAACCGAGACACTGTGTGTGTGTGTGGCTTGAGCATATATGAGCCCTCAAAGTCCACCCCTACCGTGACACACTTCCTCCAACAAGGCCACACCCACTCCACACCTCCTAATAGTGCCGCGACCTTTGGGGGACATTTTCTTTCAAACCACCACACAGAGCATGGCTACATGTGCCTGTAACAGAAGCATTGGGCAAAGCACTGGGGGGCAGAGACAGGCAAATCCTGACAGCTCATGGGCCAGCAAGCCTAGCCAATCTGGGAGCTCCAATTTCAGTGAGAGACCTTGCTTCAAAAAAACAAAGTGGAGAGCCTCTTGCTCTGGAACACACACCTGCATACTTTGGTGCATGTACCTTCTACCTCCCCTCCCAAAGGAGAGAGCTTTGTTTCTAGAGCAGTGAGGAAATTCAGGATGGGAAGGAAGCTTTTGCCCAATGCGTTCTTGATAATTCTGTTGACTGTTTCCAGTTAGCTTTAATTTTGCATTGCTGGGGATGGAACCCTGGGCATCTTGCTGGGCAAGCATTTCATCACTAGGTTCTGTACTCCTTATTTATAAATGGGAGTCTAAAGAGCCAGTTCATTGGTCATGGTTCATGTATTTCAATGTAACTTTTTAGCAACTGCTATTTTTGTAAACTGTTTTATTTTGTCCTTTGAAGTGACTAGTTCATCAAATAATTTCAAGGTTGACTGGAGCTCACTGAGTGCAGAGTATGGAACATACATTTTTTATTTTATTTTGTTTTGCAAGTTATATTCTGTACTAAAACCGGCCAAGCCTAGATATGTCAAAATCTTAAGAAGCACTATCAAGATTTCAAACTATTTACAGGTTTCACTTTTCATAAAAAAGTTTAATAAACTTTTTTTTTTGAGATCGTAGGTTTTAGGTTTTTAATGTAATCCTGGCTGTCCAAGGACCTTTTAAAGTCCTTAGCTTTAGGTTTTGAATGTAATCCTGGCTGACCTTGAACTCACAGAGAGCCTCCTGCTTTTGCCTATGGAGTGTTGGTATTAAAGGTGTGCACCACTAGGCTGGCCTAATCTATAAACTCTTTACAATGCATTCATGAAGATCTTTGAAGTAAGACCTTCTTTAAAAAAAAAACAGATAATTAATCAATAACAACAATAACAGCATGATGCCTTAGGTAGAGGCAGGTGAGTTCAAGGCTACACACTGAGTTTTCTGCCTCTTCCTTTGAGGCAGGGTCTCTCTCTGAATCTAGTACTGGCATTCTCTTAGCTAGGGTGGACACCAGCAAGCCCAGCTATCCTCTTATATTTTTTTTCAGTTGAGAGCTGTAGATGCAGACATGTGCAGATTGCATGACTTTTTATATGGGTGTTGGGATTCAAACTCTGGCCCTTACAATTGAACATCAAGTACTCGTGAATTCTAAGCCATCTCTTTAGCTCTCTGAATCTGTACTTTTTAAAAAAAATTGATCATTGATACACACACACACACACACACACACACACACACACACACACACATGTATATATGTATATAGTGTGTGTGTGCCACCAGTATGCCTGTGGAAGTCAGAGAACAATTTGATGGACTGGATTCTTACCACCACCACCACCACCACCACCACCACCACCACCACCACCACCACCTATCAAATTCAGGTTATCAGTCTTGGTGGCAAGCATTTTTACTTGCTGGGTCACCTCTCTGGCTCAGTCACTGAATCAGAATCTGAGTTTAAGGATCTGCAAGGGTTTGTATATTTTATATGTGTTATACGCCCATAACTATAACTTGTTTGATTTTTTTTCATTTTAATTATTGCTGTAACAAATATCACAGAGAAACAGTGAAATATCTATTCTTGTCAGGGTTGCAGATATTAACCTTGAGTGTCTATGTTTCCAGAGGGTTTATGCATCTTCTTTCCTAGTTTTAGTAAAATTTGAATTGTACAGCAAACATAATTTTGTAACTTGTTTTTATTTTACTGAATCATCTAGGCTAAACATACATTCTTAATAGGATTGTTTTTTTTCTCACACAGATATAGGAAACCAAAGGAACTGAATGTCTAACTTAACAAATAATAATAACCAAACATCCTTGGAAATAGTAACAAAATCAAGAATGGACATTCCTAAGCCACCCTATAACCCTCCATGTGCATATCTTAACAACAACCCCATCTCTGATTTCTATTTTATTCAATTTAAAAAGTTTTTTTTTCACCAACGTGTGACTACAGATTATTCATTGAAAACAATCCAATACATAGGTTTTGAAGGGATCAAAACCCAGAAACTCCTGTATGACACTCTCATTATTAGAGATATCCCAAGCCACTATTACATCATTAACTTAAAAAATAAGTTACCTTTATGTACATATGTATTTATGTGCATGTATGTGTATGTGTGTTACCTGTAGGGGTGTGTGTGTGCCAGGGTGTGCATGTGGGAGTCAGTTCTCAGTATGTAAGTATCAAATTAGTGTATCTTTAGATTGTACTGTGTTAGGAAGTTTTATTTTAAATGTTGTTATCTGAGTTGCATAAATGGTTTTTGGGTTGCAATTGGGACACTTTCTTAGGTGGCCTTGAACCTACTTCCGATGTTTTGTGCTTCATCTCCATGGGAAGGGGCATCCTCAGCACAGATGGTGGCACACTCTGAAAAACACCGAATAGACTCTGGGTCCTGCTACCCAATGTTCAGCCAGGATTGAGTTCTTTATAGCATCTTTAGCATGGCAATTCACTTTCGTCTTTAATAAATGGCACAATTATTTGTATTTCAAAGAATTGCTTTAAAATAAATTTATGTTTTATCTTCAGTAAATTTGTACAGTTATTTTATAAACTTATATGCGTGGAGTTGCATAAGAAATTTTTTAAGCATAAAGGTCTCATATGTTAAGAAAGTTTAAGAAGTCCACTCGAGTCTAATTCCTTGGTTTATAACATTTCACTTGGATCCTTCTTCGGAGCCTTTGGTGAATAATGATAAATGTGCTTAAATTCAACAGTATTCTTCTACATAGATATATTAATATATACATATAATACTATAGGAGAATAACTCTTACAAAATCATCTCCTTTTAGAAAAGTCAGTGTGCATGGTTGAGTGACTTTGAAGAAGAAACTGTTCTCTGAATAATGACAATGTTGCAACTGTAATAGGAAGTTTGAAATTGTCTTTAAAGATAATGTGTCATTTGAAAGTTGAATACAGTGCCAGAAAAATGATGTGTCATTAGAACTCCATTAAGGATGGTCGTACTTTCTGTTTTTTTTTTTCTTAAGGCCAAATGACTACACTGTGGAACTGCACCACTTGACCCGAAGACAGCATTAGTCTTTTTCATTCCTGATATCTTACTGTCATTGGGCAGTGATGTCCCAAGGAAGGTCATATCCACAGTACAGGGACCTGAAGCAGCCAGCTGTACAGCACAGTGTCCTGCTGGGGGACATGACATGTTCCCTTCTTCTAAACACATCAAGGTTATGGAGTTTATAAGTGTCTATAAAATTTTCACAATTTTATTCATTTACTTTTTGGGAAAAGGTTTTACCATCTAGCTCTGACTGGTTTGGAACTTACAGAGATCTGCCTTCCTCTGCCTCCCGAGTGTGGGATTAAATGCATGTGCCACTACATACAGCTTCACAAAGATTTTAAACTCACTGATGTGTTCTGTGTGTCAGTCTTGCTTTGATGACCCCATGCTACGCCGCAGTAGTTTTATGACTATGGTTTTGCCAGTGATGTCTACCCTAGGCACGAACCCTTCAAACAACTTTGCAGCTGAAGCATCATTCTTCATCAACATCATCCAGAAAACTGGATGGTACCAAGCTAATAGGTTATGAATTTCCAAGGATTCCCACCTTGTGCCTGACTCACCTGCAAAGGGCCCCTCTTCTCCTAGTTGACCATCAAGACCAGGTGCTTGCTGGGGATGGACCTATGGCCTACACTGCAGCATCTGGCTGCACTTCCCGTTGACCCCATCAATAGTCTGTGTGGGTGTGACTACCTTGGCACCCTTGCCCTCTCAGGTCTCACTGATAATGGCCCATGGCTAGCTATGGAGGCTCTTCTGGCTCTCACCTGGCTTATGGTGCTCATGGCTCGCATGTAGCTCTCGTTTCTGGAGCGGAACTTTGGTGATGTGAGCAAGCCTGCAGGGTCAAGGCTGTCCAGGCTTCTGTTGATGGAGACTTCACTGACTGCCCTCAGGTAACTGTGACTCCGGATCTGGAGTTTGGGTGAGTGTTCATTGGAGATCCTGGAAGAGAACAATATCTGGTTCTGAGTTTTTTTTTTTTTTTATTAATAAGACTATTTAGCAATTCGTGTTACACTGTCCAAGATTTATTGACCACCGTGGAAGAGGAGGTAGAAAAAAATGTGTGACCCAGAGGATGGGAAGGAATGCTATGAAATGCTCAGTTCTGGACAGGACACAGCAGGTACTCTCACAAACTCAAAGAGGTTGTGATCACCTGCACAGACCTGAAAAAAATCAAGTCAGTGAACATTCTAGTAGAGATGGGGGAGGGGCCCAAGAGGCACTATGGCTAGCTGGGGAGCTACTGGCAGTTTATGGCTGCTGGGATATGGGGAGCCCTTTTTCTTTAGGATTGTGGCTGTTGGTTGGTTGACCATGTTCCATTGAATGGCCTCACATACATAAAGCATTCAAATCAGTGGAGATCAACTATTTACTAGTGACATTAGAGCAGTTGAACACTCCTTTTTGTGAAAACACATTAGTGCTATCCATGCAGATTAAAAATAAGAATATTAGGAGCATCTTAAGTAGATTTAACAACAAATAAAAATCAGATTTAGTCAACTCTGGGAAAAAGCTATCTAGAGCTTGTTGCATGAAGATAAATATGAAGGTTCACAGGAAGATAAGTTTATATGCTACCAGGTACATGACAAGGTGTGCACTGGAAACCAGAGAAGTGTTGATTTAAAAAAGATGGCAAATGTTTTCAAAGCACATCCCTGCAAACCCATGGGAAGCCAGAACATTCCAAATGTCCTTTAAGTGGCAATGTATGAGACCACACCTGTTCATAAAGATTACATGAGGCTGCTTAATAACAGCTGAAAAACATATTTTGGATAATATCGAATCCCCAGGATCTGATTAGCAGCTGTTTGATTTATCACTTGTACAGATAAAGAAATGAAAACAGATGTGGGACATCTGTTTTCTGAAGGAAACTGTATTTTATTACTATGAGAAAGAATCAGTTGTTCTAGAAATCTGTCCAGCAGGTTATCTGGGCAGCTCTCAAGCATGAAGACACCTCTGCCAGGGTATGTGGATATTTTGTATGTGTTAATGCTATTCTGGTGATCCATACTGGGTCACTTTGCCATGCCAAGAATTCTACCCAACCAGCAAACTTCAATTCATTTTCTTAAATGTCTTTTTTCAAAAACCGTGTTGAGCTTTATAAGCTAAAGTTCACTTCTGCTTAGAACCTGAGAGCATGATGACAAATGTGTTTCCTTGGCTATTTTGCAAAATGACCCAGAACAATGACATCCCCAACATAAGTGATGATGCCATTGTGTATGGTCATTAGGGCCGCAATGGGAGTGGTGTCTTCATAAACAGAATATATTCAAAAGGAAGAAACAAAAGTCTGGTTTTTGAAAAGTGTCTGCTGGCTGAGATGCGGAAATGAGGCATTGTTGTGACAATCAGTCACCCTGGCCACTTGTTATAAAATAAGGCATCATTCCAAAATTTCAAAGTGGGAAAAAAGAAAAAAAACCCGAGAAGGAACTGAATAGCTCAGTTTTGGTGAGTCATTTCTGACAAAAACAAAGAATACCTTAGTAACCCACGACACATGAGGAAATGAACTTTATCTTATCTAGAGGGTAGAGGTTGCACCTATGCACACAGGACATCCTTGGCCTGAACTTCCTGGTGCAGAAGAGCCCAGTAAGAAATGCCAACATGTAGTGTGCCCATTGCCCCCCTCCGTGGCAATGAATGAATCTTCTCAGAAGGGAGGTGTGCACAATCAGAAATGTTGGAGATGGTAATTACTTCTCAGCGTTGACCTCTTGAAATAAGACCAGTCTTTTTCCACTGTCCTTCCTGAATCCCTCTGAGACTTATTTTTCTGAAGTCCATAAACACTCAAGTGGGATTTTGGCCTCGCTGGGCCAGAGAACCCTATTCACGCTCACATCCCTAAAGTACAGTCACTTAAGGGACAACCCTTAGGGAAGCTCTGGGGTCAGTCACGAAGCTGTGATTGCAAAGAAGATTCGAGAAGACTCAGACCATGAAGATTCAAATCAATGTCTCAAGAAAGAAAATGATCAACATAGAACTAAAAATATGACCAGATGATTGGTGATGATGATGATGACCATCATCATCATCAATTTTTCCTGCAGAGAAGTAATTCCATGTGACCGTGTCTAATGAGAGTCCCCAAGCGAGGGGATGGGTCACCTGACTGGTCCACCTGAGCCTTTTATGCTTCTGTTCTTTTTCATCTTGTCTTGACTCTGACTCTTACTCTGTCTAGTACATAAAGTGATTCCACACAACACAGAGGCAATGTCTGGCTTTGTTCTATTCTGAAAACGAAGATATTTGGTCTTGGCCACGACACCCTTATCAAAGTGTGCTCACAAATATTCATGGCTTAGATGGGGCTTTGATTCCTTGGGCTTTAGGGCAGAAGATGGTATGTTAGTGAAGCTACACTTGATTACTGGCTTTTGAGACTCTAACTTACGATCCTCAGCCTCCTTACTCAGTGCTGAGAATACAGGCACCACCAGACCCAGTGGAGTTTTAATCTTAAAATCGCTAATAGGATAGCTCACAGTTGTATAGAGATTCAGTTACGTCAGGGACTGTATCTGGATGGTCTCATGAAATGGATGATGTAGTGAGCAAAGATGGAATGACATAATTATCATCCCTCTAGACTACCATTGTCTTCAGAACTTTTCTTCACTTACTGAGATCTCATAAATGGTTTTTGTTAGTGTAGGCTAACTGCACAGAGCAGATTTCATCATGGCATTTTCATACACACACAGAGTCTTTTGGTGATCTCTATCCTGGTACTATCTATATGTCCTTCCCCCGCTTCAGCTGCTCTTAAACTCTAGTAGTCCTCCTGCTTCATGCCTTAAAAAGATTCTGTCATGTGGAAGAAAATGTGTAGTGCTTGTTTTGTGAGTCTGGGTTACCTTGCTTATCATGAAGACCCTTACTACCATCCATCTTACTGAACACCACATGACTGTGTTCTTCACTCTGACTGATACTTCACTATGTACATACACCACATGTTCTTTATCCATTCATCTGTTAGTGGGGATCTAGGCTGTTTGACTTGGCTATATGAATAGTGCTCACAAAGGATTTTAAAAATGCTTATGACATAATCCACCCCTAAAAGTCCATGGTTCACTGGTTCTTAGCATGTTTATAGAATTGAATAAGCATAACCACTATATACACATCATCTAAACATCATTACAGGAATGCTACTGATTGCTCTTGGCCAATAGGTATTTACAGACGACAGCAGGATTCCTTCATTCCATGCACTTGCATTGCCAGGCATAGAGAATCTTTTTAAACTTGACTCCCTTTGCAATGCCATATTATTTTTTAACGTTAATTTTCCTTCTGTTTCACAGAAATGAAAATCCAGAACAGGATCCATTTATCTAATGATTAGCCCCTTCAGAAAAGCAACAGCTTATGTACAAAGGTAACTTCTATAGAATAATTAACATATTAAGGAGTGGACTCCTATAGATTCATGCTATAGTCTTTGCTGCATTTCCTCCGTAAATGTTTGACATTGTAGATAAATGTCAGCATTAGCTGCTAGACATTCCAACTGTCAAATGCTATAGACATGTAGACATTCCTATTTCCCAAGGGCCCCAGGGCTCTGGTCAAAGAAAGTGAAGGGAATGTTTTGGAGAGTCATTTCATTTGCTCTATTAACTTTTCTCTGCAGGAAAAAAAAAAGACAGATTTAGTTGGAATTACCTGACTGCTCAATTATGCGTACTGCTGGAGAGCCAGAGGCCCAGGATATGTGAAGCCATGTGCTAGACACTGGGATAATTGGCATAGCTGTAAGATGAGACTCATACAAATTACAAATGTAACACTTTGCACAGCGAACCGTCTCATATACAGAAATTAATAGCAAATGTGAATTTCCCTGTGTTTCAAATGTGCTTCTATCGGTCACATTTAGGTTCTTGTGATTTTCAGAATTCAAATGTTCTCAGACTTTTTTAAAGTATCCAGCATTGAACACAAAGTAACTAAAAGACACCAGCTGTACATATGGCTTGGGTTGGCTGTGGTAGAGAACAGCTGAATACTGCCTGCTAGAACTCCAGTCTTCAGACTGAGACAAGCACTCAGGAACAAGTTCAAGGGGATCTTGGTTAGGCTTTTACCAGTCCAAGGAAGCCACAATAGGAAAAGAAGACACTCAGCTATAATGTGGAGGGCAAGCGTCAGAGAGAAGGTGACTCTGAGTTAGAACCTGAGGGACAAGATTTCCACAGGGTAGAGTGGACCGGACACAAGGCATTCCAGACCAGGGGACTGTGGGGCACAGGAGGGTGGGCAGTAGAGTAGCTGATATCCAGAATGCTGTGCTCTGCAGAGTGAACCAGCGCAGGCGGGAGGGTTATCCACGTGGTAACCGCCTGCTGGCCAGTCTGTGTCATCAAACTGTAGGTTTCCAGAGACAGCAGCCCCTGGTTGAGGGGATGAAAACCTGTCATTGGATTCCCAAGCCCAGCCTAGGCCTGACTCATCTAAGACCTCCTCAAATAACTGTTGAATAGCAAGAGAGGGAGAGGGTGGTAGGGTGCAAAGACCCATTCAGACATTGGGACAAGAGGCCCTGGGAAGCTTTGATGAGGCCATGAAGTGAACCAGAGAATGGAAGGAGAGGTCTATCCAGCAAGTGTGCAGGACTGACTGTGGGCAGGGACTGAGGGTGCTGTCAAGAGCCCTGTCCCTGGACGATGGAAAGCATGTGGTGACACTTTTCCACTATGAAGAACACAGGTCCAGGGAGATTTGGTTCCCTCTTTGGGAAAAAGAAGTACCCCTTCTTAATACTTGGAAGCATTCAGCAGAGTTTGGGGTTGGCTGAAAATAGAGCAGGGGTTATGCAAGATTTCTTTCCAAAGAACCACATGCAGGATGTGATATCTATATCTATATCTATATCATCTATATCACCCGAA